ATTCGTATAGGCTTCGCGTCGGAGAGCTCGGATTAGCGAAGCATAAGAGGATGGTGGAGGGAAGATATTTTCTGCCATCTGAAATACAGTCTGAACGATGACGGAACATCCGCAAATAAAATGGATGAAAATTATGTGGGGTTTAACCGGCCGAAAACGTTCCGATGGAAAAGTCGCGACGAATGAGCGACGGACGAGTGGGTGGGAAATGGATAGATTGTTCAGAACATCGGAAGAACAGTGGATAAGGCAGATGTGTAGCGCACGCTTTTCCGTTTGGCCCTCCTCGTGTCCTCCCTGCTCCCCCCTGCCTCCGGGAGGATCCGCTCTTCCACCTACGTTGTCGCGCGCGCGCGAAAGAGAGAGATCTCCTCTCGTGTGTCTCTCGAACACTTAGAACGAGATAAATTTAAAGTGGACGGCATACGTGTAACATCCACGGGGAGAATCAGAGCCGGAGAGTCGCGTGAGAGCGAGAGATAGCGAAACCCGTCGCCTTCCTCGTGTCCACGAGCGTCCTCCATTGAAACGTTGGTCGTAAAAGGAAAAGCGCGCCGATAACGCGCGCGCGCGTGGTAATGGCTTCCGTAATTTTACAGAAGGTGAGATGGGTCCGCGCTGGTGCAGATTTTTGACGCCGTAAAACCGCTGCCACCGAGATCCTCCGGCACGCCGGAGGATCCTCTCACTCTTTCTTTCGTCTTCTCAGTGCTGCGAAAGGGACGGAAGTGCGCCCATCTCCGAAACGCACCGAGACGAAGTCCCGACGTGAATTCTGACACTCTGAGGTAGCTGCTTTAAGCCGGCAAATCGGCACGATTTGTTTCCTTCTCTCCCGGCGCGTACGCGAGCGTTACCTTTAAGCGAGAATTACGAATTTCACGCGTCACTCCAGGTCAAAGCCAGCGTCGTCGTCGACGAGACCCCGAGAGCCGGAGACTTGACCTCGAGAGAGATTCCCGAAATTCCTAGTAACAAGAATGAAAGGAACTTCAGCCGTAAAATACGTCGTGTAATATTATACATTTGAGAGATGGAAGAGAGAGAGAGAGAGGACGAAAAAGAAGAACGAAAGAATGGACGTACAAAATTAGCGGTTGGTCCTCCGACAGTCCGGACTTTATCTTAAAACCTCGAGCGGTTAAGAGAGCAGAGGCAAAAGAGAGGATTGAAAGCGCGCGCGCGATAGGCTGGAAGAAAGGGCGGAGAAGGTCGAGACGGAGGACGAACAAGGTTCGTTTGCCCGCCTGCACACGTGCACCTATATGGTAATTCCTCCGGTCGCGGCGGAGTGTCGAGAATTTGACGACGGGGTACGCCATAAAAGTACGCCCGGCCAGAAAGTATCGAGGAACACGCACACGGCACCGCGGGCACCGTGAACGGACGACCGTATTTTTTTCGCGTCTGGGATTATTAACCCTAACATGCGCGATGTCTCACGAACGACGCGCGTTTCTCGCTACCTTCTCGATTCCGCGTGGCCGTTGTTTCGTGCTCGGGTGTGTAATTATTTATGAAAGCAAAAAAAAGACATTGAAAATCTTGGGAATATCTTAATGGAATGAAAGAAAACTTCAATCTTCCACGTGGAAAGATCCAACATTTTCTCAGATTTTCTCGCGCGCTCGTGACACGCCTCAAAATGACGAAAAAATTCCTCATTTTGCTCAGCTCGTCCTTTTTGGTACATAAAAATTAGCAGAATTAAAAGATAACCGAAGAAACGATAAAAGTCATTCGATAATTGTCGACGAAGTTGAAGCTACTTGAATCGTGATAATTTTTTGAAGAAGTGTCAAGCGCTCTCCTAATTGTTAGGTTCGTGCGTAGTGTGTAATATCGAGAAAATATGAAATAGTCGGAAAATCCAAAACGTATGCAGGTACTGAATATGGGTTTATTTAGCGGTAACTCAAATGTTCAGCGCTATTTTCGAAGTTCGTTCATTCAAGAGAGGATCGAAAAGCGACGCCTTTCTTCTTGGTCACCGCTACGCGGAGATACCGGACGGTACTGGAGAGCCGAGCGAGAATCCGCTGGTCTCGGCGTGGGTTTCGGACACACGGGTGGGTATATTCAACCGATCCACCTATTGATATCGCGACTGCCAACCTTGTGACACGTCGTTGTTGACGTCGCGAGAATTGCATCGGCCGCAACAATGTGTTTCGTTCGTCCGAGCGAATTCGTCCCGACGGCGTCTTCTTGCCGACCGCGATCGCGCGATGGAGAAACAAGTCCGATTCGGAAAATGAGCTGTTCGTTACGCCGATTTCCATTGTGCTCCTTAGTACGTCGTCACCGATCACCCAAGTCGCTTCCACGGGAGTCGATTTCCGGCGCTGTTCGCGTGACAGCTTAAGCACGTTTGTAATTAGCAACGCGCACGTGGAATCGAAAAAGGTGAATCGAGATACAGCGAAAGTCCTGCTTCGTCTCGTGATTCACCCGTTCGAAATTCATTTTCAACTCTCCACAGAGAAACTGATTTCTCTTAAGGTTTAGTATTTCTATTTATTTGACTAAAATTTGTACACGTTTCGGATTTTCCGGCTACTTCATGCTTTTCCCGATATTATATATTAAAGAATTACAAGACTCGCACGAAACGTGGATGCATCACGCACGATCCCTCCGTGTATTATTGAAGCAATCGTCATAGTTAGTCATAACGATTATTTGTAGAAAATCACTTTTCGTTGGGAAATTTACTTCATGCTCGAAGTGTGACAGGAGAAACCACGAAAATCGGCTAGGCAGGGGAAGAAGAGTTAACGAGTCGACCTCGTTGGCGCAGGAAATGCGGCGTAATGTCCACGTTAATGTCGCGTCTTGACTGGACAGTAAACATTTACGAGTATCTCAATCGCACATGGCTCTCCTTCGAGAAAGAGAGAGAGAATATGCCGTTGTAAAAGCCGCGGATCTTTTTCAACCGCGGCTGGCTGGTCGTTTGGTCTCTCGCTCGCGCTTGCAAATCCTGGACGCGACTGTGTCCGGGTTTGTCGCCCACTTTGCGCTCTCGCGGCCGCAGGTGTGTCGCAGCCGCGGCAGAGCAGCGTGCCCGGGCTTTTTCGCCTATATACACCGTTATACAGCGTGTCCCGAGATTCAATAACTCGCGATCCGCAGCCGTCTAACGGCGCCCGACGAAAATCTTTTATGTACGCGCCGAGCTCCCGCTGCGAGTGTCGGGATCACGTCGTGGATCAGAACCCCCCCTCCTCCCCCGAAAAGTGTTTTCTTCTTTTCTTTTCTCCTCAGACGAGGCTCACTCGTCTCTCAGACACGGTGTTATTAAAAAACAATTTATCGATCAGTCTGAAGGGGAGTTTTTCGGCGAACAAACCTCCGTCCTATCGTCGATCCTCTCCTTTGCTTGAATAAAAAAAACTTTAGCACAGATAATTATGTAGCGAATTGAAGTATTAGGTGCATGCAAAAGTTTTAGTTCTTTTTTTTTTTTTTTTAGTTTTATTTGTTTATCGCGTAACACAGAGTCCTCCATGACGAAATTTCAATTATACGTTAAGTCCACTTAGTTCTGTATTGTCTTCCAAGGTCTTCTATTGTGCTCTTTTTGATGCTACAAATGGAAAGTTACTTTCGTTTTTTTCCACTCGGAGATTCAGCGTAGAATTTAAGATTTCCCATCCCGCAAGATCTAAATTCCTTTCGTGGCATCAAAGGGGCATCATTAGTGCTAATGGGAAGTTACTTCCGTTTTTTTTTTCACTCGAGGGCTTCAGACGGAACTGAGTAGACTTCAATGCAGGATCAAAATTTCGACTCGAGCATTGTCGTGGATCGTGGATATCAGGATATTCGCGAACACCCGGTGGATCCGACCACGGCAGGCAGCCTACGTCGACCTACGTATATGCGGGTATATATCTGCCTACCTACCTACTTAGTTCACTGATTCTCGCCGGTATTCACGGGACGAAAATGCGTACCCACGTCGGGACTCGGTTGCGAGGCAGGCATGCTCGGCTCGCTCGCTCGGCGCGCTCAGGTACTCGGCTGGTCCCGACTTCCGGCCGTGGTAAAGGTGTGCCTAGGCGAAGTTATACCCACGCGACCAGACACCGACGATCGATGGCGAGGAAAGAAAAAGAAGAAGGAAAGCATGAAGCTAGGAGAAAAAGAAAAGCGAGAAAGAGGAAAAGAAAAAAAAAGAGAGCTGCGCGGAGCGAGTCGTGCTACCACAGACCGAAGCTTCACCCGCGGAAAGACCTGTTTCGGTAGATCGCGCGCGCGAGAGAGCTCGCCGTTAAATCACGTTCGAGCGTTCGAGCCGTTGATGCTAATTCGAGCGAGCGAATGAGCGCGCGCGAGCGCGTGTGTGAATGGAGGTAGTATCGTGTCGTTACGCGAACGGAGGAGAAGTTGCAACCGCTCTCTTGCCTGCCGATCGCTTCGATTTTCATCGTGTCCTTGAGATCGTCGAGCGATGCAAATTTGGCGATTTCTTCGGCGAAAACCTCGTTCTCGCGACATTGAGAGATTCTCTCTTTTCTTTTTTCTTGAATGAACTCTTGAATGATTCTCTCATCGAAGTTTAGTATTTTAATGAATGAAATGCATACCGTCGAGTTGTGCTCTCTGAATTTCTCAGAATAGAATTTCACTCGAATCTAATCAAGTCTAATACCTTTAAGAATATAATCAGCGTTACGTTCGTAAATGAATTATAAATTAATAGTAAAGTACGAACTGATAAGTGCAAGCAATATATGAAAGAGGAAAAACCTTGCGATTCGAAGTGACAGTATTTTTGCTGTCGTTTCGATTAAATCTTCATTCCCTTTTTTTTTTTAGTGAGAACTCGTACCAAGAAAGTTAAAGAACGCGCGCAGCGTAAAATATTGAAACGAGCGTCGAGCACGTTTATCGCAAAGTGTATCTCCCGGGAGGAAATTTTAAATTCTACGTTAACGCGATTTACGCTGAGCTTTAGTAATTAACGCACATATCCTCGCACACTATTGTTTCAGTTCGTCGAATTAGGCATGGTGACTAGCATACAGTACGATCAAAAATCCATGAAAACGGCGAGAAAAGGTCAGGAGGTCTGCATCAAAATTGAACCCATACCGGGCGAAGCGCCGAAAATGTTCGGCCGCCACTTCGAGGCAAAGGACTTCCTCGTCAGCAAGGTGAGTTTTGTTCATTCATCACCGACTCCCGTCCAACTCGAGCGGTAAATCGAAATAACCACGATGTAAACTCTTGATTGTCACGAAAATCGTACGAGTATCGTGAGACTGATCTTTATTTAACACGACACCTTCCACAGAATGTGCGTGTTACGTCGTTTTTGTCGATCGCGCGTTATTTCATTCACATTAGACCGCGCGAAACCGCGAGAAACGTGTTTTCGCCTTGACGCAAATTCGAGACTTAGTATGCGAGACCTAGATCGAGAAAGAGAGAGAGAGGGGAGGGAAGGAGGAGGAAGAGCAGGGGGAAAGATGAACATCCGGCGGCGATCGCCCGTCCGCCGCCGGCTTCCGGCCTTCGTAGAAGCTCGCTATCTTTCGCCCCTCCGCCTCCTTCTTCCCTCCCCTCCCCCTCCTACTTTCAACTCTTCTTCCTTTTTCGTCTTCCTCCTTGAGAAGCCAGGATATCGGCTACTACAAATCGACGACGGAGAGAGTATCGGGCCCTTGGCGCGCTTGGAAACTTCATCCTAACGTCTCGAGCGAACACACTTTTTCGCTTCGATTGAAAACAACGAGATATAGATAATATAGATGAATACAAATGCAAAATATCGATGCATTTTCTACCGATATTAACTGAATTGTCTTCGAACCTTCTTTCCAATCGATCCGTATTGATCCATTCACTTCGCTATATCATGAAACGATTTGCGTTTTTCGCAACATTTCAGTATTTAACAGATGCAACAGATGCACATTTATGAATTGTTAATGAATTAAAATTGATTAACGAGTTAAAAATTGACTTGTAAAACTGGCTAGAATGAAGCACGATGTCAAGATAGGCTCGTTGTGGAACTGCAAAGGGTCAATAGATAACGTTATTAGATAAGAAGAGAATAGATGCATGAATGGAAAATGTTGTAGGAAAGCTGTAAGCACGGTTCTAATGCCATCTTAAATATTAATAATGCCATTGTTAATATTCCCGAAAAGACGTATGCAAAGACATATGCGATCGTTAATTAAGACGGACGTTTCGTAGGCGTTCGTTGTCGAGAAACGGTACGGCACCTTTTCTTCGACAAGTACAACCGACCGATGTTTCATCTCTTCATTCTTTCCCTTCCTCCATCCTTCCTTACTCTCCTTCCTCCCCTCGTCGTTCTCCATCTCCCGCCGCCTCCTCTTCCTCCTTCTCGTTTCCCCGGGCCTGTTCTATCGTTGCGCTTCGAGCACCTTCCTGTGCTTTGGTAGACAAGCGGAAGTCGTCGTTACCGTTCGGTTCGTGGAATCAGTTCCGGAAGTATCTTGTTCCCACGATGATTCCCCCGCCGACGACACGGACGTCGGCTCGCCGCACACGTCGGCGAAAATTGGAGCAAGCGCTCTTGCTTTTGTTCCCTCGAGGAACACGCTCCGGGAAGATAGAGAGAGAGAATCGCTAGAGAATACGCGATACATGGACGGAAAAAGCAATGTGGACAATGACGAGAATCGGCGGACGCTTCACGTTTGAAATCCAAATTCTCTCTCTCTCTTTCCGACCGGGAAGTTGCGGAAAACGACGTGCGGAATAAACATGAACAATAAAAAAAGCTCGAATCGTGCGTTGAGTCAGGTGATTGTGCGGCGACGAGTCGGCGATAACTCTCCTGACAGTTTGCACACGCATGATAAGTCGCGACGTGCGCGCGAGCCAAACAGCAGAGGTACAAAGAGAGTGCTTCTTCGGTGAGAACATTATTCGGACACGGGGGGAATTTTTATAGTAAAACTTGTATTTGTAGAATTTCTTAACGGAGGAACGCGCGTCGCGATACGCCGCCTTAATTTATCGTCCTTCCGCTTGACACATGCTATTTATATCTTTGAAACTGAAAACTAATGATATAAACAACTTGAAATACGTATGTTTCTTATCAATATTTACTTTGCCGACGGTCTACTCGTACGTCGCTAAAAAACATGGTAAAATTGAAAGAAACATTACATGACATAACAAGTTATATAATGTTCTCTCTCTATACAGATAACATAATAGAAACGCATGAGTGCATAGGTTTGTTTAATATAAACGATATAATTTAATATCAAATATTATTTTGTTTGAATGAAAGTGTCGTTGCTTCGCTAAAGTTTCACAGAAACTTTGTTGTTTGATAGGAAAAAACAGTATTATTTAGAGGAAATATATTTGATTTTCAACAAAAAAAAAATCTATTTCGTTGTTTATCAAATACTGGCCCACTGAAACGAAGAAGTTCACAATATTTTTCTAACATAGTTTGTCATTTCTCTCAAATAATGTGTCAACCGTTGAAACCACAGAATTTTAAGGTACAAATTAAAAATAAGAATGTCATCTCACACCACGCCCCGTAAAACTGAGGAAAATTTATAAAAAAAGAATAGCCAGGAAATATTCTCTATCGCGTACACGGTCGCCTCGTGTTTGCGTGCTTTCGAGCGGACGCATTCACTGCCCACGAAATCAGCGAAGACCAGCAAAGCGCTCACGTCTTCCCTCGTTTCGCAAGCGCGCGGAACAATATTTCTCCGCGAGCTTTCCTCGCCGAACTTTCCGCGTTTATTTATCCGAGCACGAATATACATCGTTCTCCCCTCCTTCCTTCTCTTCTAATCTTGATGCGGCGAAGTCAGCGAAAGAAGACGAAGAGAGCGGCAATCGCGGAAAATCGCGACCGGATGTTGCCGCGAATCCGCCTATCGCTCTACGTTCGCGCGCGTAAACACCGCGTCCCCCTCGTCCCGGAAAACCGAATCGGGGACTCGGGCCGCAAGAAAACGCGATGAAAGCGCAAAAAAACGTTTTTTCGTCATTCGGAATCGCATAATAACAACGCGAGCTACGCGTGATCGCGAATCACGCGTAGCTCCTCGTACGAACAACTTAAACTTTCAAATTAGCTCTCCTCCGCTCCTCCTATGCGCGCTGCCGTTGAAATTTTTTATGATTACCGCGAACTGTTGTATATTCAACGTTCCGCGTACTTTACGAGCGGTAATACGGACGGGAAGGCGGGAGGGAGAAAGACAGAGAGAGAGAGAGAGAGAGAGAGAAACACGTGGGGGCGACCGAGGAAGATAGAAAGAGATAGAGAGGAGGAACACGATGGACAAGGAGAACGGAGGGTAAAGAGAGACAGAGAGAATGAAACGTGGCGGATTGGAGAGGGAGGGCGAGAGGAAAGAGGGGAGAGAGGAGAGCTTGAAGAGGCGCGGCGGGGGGAGGCAGGCGTCCTCAATAGCCGCGTAAAACCACCATTGTGACCGATCCATGAATGAAACGGGACTTCCGGCCGGGAGTGGGGGCGGAAACAGTTGTGAAGCGTTACGTTTCCGAATGGACCGGTGAGCGTGCGCGCCCGCGCTCCCTTTCCTCTGTCCCCCCCCCCTCTCCCTCTATTCTCTCTATTTTTCTCTCTCTCTTTCTTTTTCTTCTCTCTCTCTCTCTCTCTCTCTCTCTGTTACTACTGTTCGCGAAAAGCGCTGCGTGAAAATTAAAACCACGTAGCCCCCCCCCCCCCGTGCAAGAAAAACGCACGCTCCCCGAGATTTCTGTATGAGCGAGCAGCTGCACGTGTTATGGTTACTTTATGAACGCCGACCGTTCAGCTCGATTTACCCGTCTCATGATGAATCGTCGATCGAATGATCGAACATTCTCGGTGGTTCCGAGAAGACCCGATCGGCTTCCCTTGCAGATTTCACAATACTAATTCCGACCTTCCTCCAAAAACGTGCCCTCCCCTCTTGCAGTTTGCATGTTCTCGAGCGTAATAACGCCACCGGGGCGCTACCGTTTTGCATGTTACAGATAAGCAGACAGAGCATAGACGCCTGCAAGGACTACTTCAGGGACGACTTGCTGAAGACCGACTGGCAGCTTATGGTGGAACTCAAGAAGCTCTTCCAGATACTCTAGGACACGCTGATGGTCGCGACGACATTATCCAAGGGCCTCCCGTCACTCTAACGGCGACTGCGAGAAGACCGGCCTGCCGGCTTCGACATCCTAGCGAGGTACACTCGAGATCATCGAACGAGCGTTTCCTCGAGCCGTCCCGATCGATACACACCGTGACCGTTGTCGTTCCGCATTGCGCGTCTCGGGACGCTGCATGCTCTCGAACTCACCCCCGTCTTTCTCTCCCTGATCGCGAGTCCGCCGCACCTTTCCCGTCCCCCTTCCTTGCCTCGACCATCCGACCATCCTTGTCTGGATCCCGAAGAGCATGCCACGGAGAACGAGAGGAAGAAGAGGAACGCGAAAGCGATCTCGGCCTTGAAACCGCCGCCACGCGCTTCGCCTGCCTGAAAGCCCGTTTGGGCGCGATCATCGCGCAATTGCGCCCGGGATATTCACGGAATAGCACGTGGCCGGTGTACCCGCGAGTCTTGCCGGCGAGGACGGCGCGTCGTCGTCGGTCACATCGGCGAGGAGCTTCTTGGAAATGGGCGATCGCGAGAAGAAGAGAGGAGAGCCGGATGGGAACGTCGCGGGTGGCGACGACGTTGTAGATACGCTGGAAGAGGAGACAACGAGATGATAAAGTGAGAGATAGAGGGAGAGAAAGAGAGAGATGGGGATAAGGGACAGAAGGAGAAGAGACGAAGCAGAGGAAGTAGGAGAAGAAGAAGAGAAAGGGAAGGAAGAGAAAGAAGAAGAGACGTAGCGCTGACAAACGAGAGAGAGAATTGCACGAGACCTCGTGTGTTTTGTATATGTAATCCCTTTATATAAGATGAGCAAGGCATTGCGGCCGTGAATAAAGACTACCGCGCGTTTTCGCAAAAAAAAAAAAAAAGAGAGAGAAAGGAAACTAAGAGATGTCTCTCGTCGACGCGCCGGCGGATCGATCCGCGCCTCCACCTTAGGACCAAGTCGTTCCGTCTCGTCCGTTGTTCCTTGATCCTCGAGTACACACACCTGTCCCGACCGACCTGTCCCGTAGCATCGAAGATACCTCCTACGTTGCGCGTATCCAATGTTCGCACGCAGTCGTCGGTAAGTAAAACCTCAACTTTCCGAGATGAATCGCGCGACAGGACGCGCGTCTGCAGGAGAAAAGATGCGAAGAACTTAAACGTCAATTTTACGGTACGTTCACTTAGCTTTTCGTCTTTTGGTAACTTCGTTCACACGAGAGAGAGAGAGAGACCGCTTCGTATCGAACGCGATGTCGAAATCGAGTTGTAAGCGCGTTGTGAGCGTGAAGAATCCGACAAAGCATCCATTGGGAAAAGGGAGGCCCATAGATTCACGGGCCCTTTTCCGGTTGCCACCTCCATCACGCGTTTCCTTATTAAGACTTTTGGCAATATACGCGCCGACCGTGGGAACGCGCGTTTTTAATTGGCCGAGAGTGGCAATAACGCCGGAAAGAAACTCGAGAAATAAATCGACGAGGAGGAGGAAGAAGAGGAGGAGGAGGAGGAGAACGACGATGACGTGTTACGTTACGGCAGCGTCGTAGATTGCGTATCGTTCTCGAATTCTCGAGCCGTTCTCCAGCTCCTCTCCTCCACCTCCTTTTTTTAGCGCCGCCGGAAGCGACGATAATAGGACGCGGGCGTGCGAGATCGGTCGTACGTGCCGGGATCAAAAGATCGTCGTCGCGTGAAAATCGAATTTATTCTTATTCGATCTAACCCGAGTCGGAAGATTTTCCAGATTTCATCCAATTCCGAAAGACACTGTACAGACTATATTGTCTTGCCTTAACTGCAATAAATGGTTATAATGCCATTTTCCACATGTTGAAATATATTTACAAGACAAAAATTGTCTATCAGTATACAGGGTGGACAATAACTATTACCACCCTCGGATATCTTCGAAACTGAGAGTGAGGGGAAAATTTATCTATCTTTAATACAACTTTTATGCGAAACACTTCTCTGCAAAACTTATATTTTTCGGGATTTCCATATTTTGTTCTCACCCTGTATATCATATATGTTACATAATCTCTTTAATATTGATTTTTTACCGGCATTGGAGAAATATATACGCATATATAAAATATATATTTATCATTTATTGTCATCGCGAAATTATTGTGCCGCTTGAAACGTCTGAAAATATATGATGCATCATTGTTCCCGTCCTGGCGGCTTATATTCTTCATCCTGACTTCCTGATTCATCATCGTACTGCTGTCATGGCACCTCTGCATACTATCTCGTAGTATTGACATTCGCATAAGTACGATTCGATCGGAGAAACGCATGTTAATTAACTGCCGGCGATGTCGCCGACAGTCCGTTTGAATATTTCAAGAGCCAACGCAACGTTTTCCGTAGAATGTTATGCAACGATCGCTTGCGGAAAAAAATATACGAGTATGTGCGAGAATATCAAAACAATCGGCGAGAAGTGCAAGCTTACCTCCCCCCCCCCCCCCCCCCCCCCCCCC